TTAGCCCTTGATTGCCTCCACGCCGAAACACCTCGTCCAAAAAGGGTTCACACCAACGCCGCCAATTGTTGTCGCTTCGCGGACCGAACACCAAATCGTCCATCCACATAGCTGCCCAAGACTGCAGGTCCTGACGCATAGTGGCGTAATCGTCCGTAGCCTGCTCCCGTTGTTCGCGAACGTGGTCAAACAACTCAGGAGGTGGACGACCCATGGCGGAAAGTGGCTCTGCCTGAGCCTTGATCCGTCGCGTTCTTTTACAATTCCCTTTCCCTTTTTGGCGACGAGGCAAGTCCCCCTGGAAGCAGGCCGTGCAGTGGCCGTTAGGCCGAGCAGGCCAATCCAGGACCCTGGGTTCTCTGAATTCCTGGATCTCTGAAGACGGGGGTTCCTTCGCCGTGGGAGCAGCAAAAGCAGACTCTGATTTTGTCACCTCCATGCCTGGCTGCGAACTCAGAGAAGATTCTGCTGCCTTAAATAGTGTGGCCAATCTCGACGTTGCTCCGCTCAGCTCTTCACGTGATACCGCGTACAGCTGCCAGAAATCGCCAAGAATGTCCACCTGTTGTTGTCCATTTTGAATTGTGCACGTCATGGTAAAATCAAAGACAGATTGCCAGAAACCAACGCCATGCGGCCAGACCCAATCACTCGTATGGGCTGTAGCGGGATACTCGCCTGTGCATGATGTTAGCTGCAGCACGTAGTTTGCCGAGATCCAACTTCGCAACTGCCTCGGAGTCGACAACCCCTGATTCGACAAAGATATCGCGAAGGGCCTCCTCGACGGCTTCGCGGAGACTAGGAAGGGCAGCTGCAGGTTCCTCTGGTTCCACTGCCATGTCTGCTGTCACCCCTGCCGCCGCAACCGCTGGCCGAAGTAGGAGGTTACCTGCAGACTCTGCCACCTCAGGTTGAACAAGCTTCGCCAAATCCTCCTCTTGAACAATCTTAGGTAGCAATTCATCTTCCACACCATGCTTTTTGAGAACCGTTTCCAATGTATCCAACTTGAAGAGGGCGCGCTGTACCGATACTGTAGCACCATCTGCCGCCTGAGCTGGCGGCCGAAGAGCAGTGGCAGCAACTTGCGCTCGCTGGCCTTCAAGTGTGGCCTGTTGCTGACGAAGAGTGGCCAAGTCCTCCTGCAGCAGCTTGAGTTGCTTCTGCCGCTGCTCAGCCGCGGCCTCTGCTTTTTGAATCATCTGGTCCAGCTGGTAGAGCTTGCGGTTGACCTCATTGATCTGCACACCAACAAGCTTGCGTTCTCGTCGTTCCAGCTGAAGTTTGTCCCGCTGTGCAACAAGTTCCTTTCTGGTACTTGCCAACTCAGGGATTTCTTTGACCAGCGCCTCTGGGAGCTTCTGCAACTTTGTGTCCAACAGTGCGAGCTGCTTGTCCAAGGAGTCATCATCCTGGTCGACGACCTCCACCGTGGGTTCAACCTGCACGGGGCTAGACTGCAGTGGAAGCTGACGCTCACGTAGCTGAGCCCGCAACTCAGTGATGTTTGCCTCCAACTGCTGAATGACTCGTTTTGTCTCCCAGGGCGTGGTCGGAGCTGCATTAGATACTGAGTGCTTGCTGGGGCTCCCACCTTCGTTATTCCCACCGAAGACGTTGCGCTTGTGCATCTGACACTGCTTACAATGAAGATGAATGCCCAGGTTGCACACGCGCTTGCCTTTCTGAGAGCCCCACTTGACCGTACAGTCCTTGCAGTACCAGTCACTTCGCACCCGCTCCTTCTCACCTCCCATGAGCGCCGTGGCCGCAGGCGAGCACCCAGAAGAGACGTAATGACTGAGAGTAGCGCCCACGGCGCGGAGTTACAGTATGGAGTATGCTGACCCGCAGGGTCAGAAGTGGCGGGGGCCGCGATTTCCCCCTTGCCAGGCAGGCCAAGCCCTGAACGAAACGCTACGGACTTGAGCCAAAATGGCTACGGAAACCTCCTCCTCCTCCTCCTCCTCCTCCTCCTCCTCTTCCGCCTGCTCCCTCCTCCTCCCCCCCCCCCCCGCACAGGCCCCCGGGAGCGCTCCGAGCCCCAAGGACGGCACCCCCGAGGGGACGCCGGCCCCACAAAAAGCCTGCGCAACGGGGGCGGGACGGGTCGAGGGCCCGTCGGCACGGGTCCCCCGACGAGATCAGAGGGGATCGGCGGATGCGGCGCGGGCGTGTAGCATCGTTGCCGCGTCCTGGGTTCGCGCTGGTCCTCCTCCTCCTCCTCCTCCTCCTCCTCCTCCTCCTCTTCCACCTGCTCCTCCTCCTCCTCCTCCTCTTCCGCCTGCTCCTCTCACGTCCTCCGTCGCCTCCTCCTCAGCATCATCGCACCTCCCCCGTCGCCCCTATATCACCCTTCTCCTCATCCTCCTCGTCCTCCAGTTGCTGCTCATTTCCCGATCTGCCTCCTTCAACATCGATCCTCCCCCCTCCCCCACCCTCCAAATTCCACCATTGCGCAAGAAACGAGTCTCAACAGTGCCGACGTTACCCCAAGACCCACGAAAGACGGCCCAACGATCGCTCAGAGGCACCCACATGCCGCAAAGAGGCGTCACTTGAGCAGCTCCCCAGAGGCCAACATCGAACTCTCCAGGACTTCTCTAGGAGTGTTCTGGGAAGGGATACCCGTTCGGTATCATGTGTTTTTGTTGTCTGGTAATCCGTGAAGAAAACATATGGGGACGGGATGGCCCGAGAAGGGCCCAAGAAAGAGCAACCGCACCAACGACGGCCCCAAGGTTCCCATCAGTCCGCCAAGAGGCCATAGAAAGCCTACGAGAGCCCCCGTGGCCTCAAGAGGCCCCCAATAGGTTCCACGAAGGCTCCCGCAAAGCCTCCAAGAAGCCTCAAACAAGCAACGCGACAGCAATTCGACGCCGCGACGACGCCACGCTACAGCATCGTAGCGTCGCTTCCCAAACACACCCAGGAAGGTGATCCCGGTGACCCTTTTCGGGGAAGCTCGAGGGAATAACGAACGACACTACGCTAGAACCATACTGAAACTGTTAGGCAGTGAGCACAAACTCTCTCCTGGGGCCCCCCGCCCAACGTCGACCACTTGTGACATGATGCTGGCGGTCGGGCAAGATAACACAAAACATCCGCATCCTCCTCCTCCTCCTCCTCATCCTCCTCCTCCATGCACACTCTGTCCCAAATCCTTGTCTGCGTCTCCCCAGTCTCCCATGTATCCGTTTTCTTCCCATCCTAAACTACCTAATCCCCTCCTCTACGCCTCTCCTCCTTCCCCCCCTCCTCCCCAGTCGTGGGCAACGACACTTCCCCCTTCTCCTCCTCCTCCTCCTCCTCCTCCTCATCACCATCATCATCATCACCACCACCACCACCATCATCATCATCATCATCACCATCATCAGCATCAGCAGCAGCATCATCATCATCATCATCATCATCATCAGTATCGTCATCATCAGTATGATCATCAGCATCATCAGCATCATCAGCAGCATCAGCATCAGCATCATCATAAGTATCATCATCGTCATCAACAACATCTTCCTAATAAGCAGCAGCATCAGCATTAGCATCATCATCAGCAGTAGTATCACCACCATCGTCATCATCATCATCATAATTATCATCACTGCTTTTCCCTAATCCCGCTCGTCTCTTCTCCTGCTCCTCATCCTTCGATTCTCATCTCCTCGATCCCTTCTCGGTCGTCGGCCTCCTCTTCCTTCTCTCTCTCTCTCTCCTCCCACTGCTGCTCGTCGTCCCCCTCCCCTCCTTCTCCTCGTCATCATGACCACCCTCCCCCCTCCTTCCCCAATCGCCCCATCTGGAGGAAGAGGAAATTCTAGAAACATACACTTTGGGATGGCCGCACGGACTTTTGGAGCTGCGCCGAACCCCCGTCACTGGCGCGCAGAGCGCGCCAGGGACGGCGCCGGAGGCGCCGCCAGAGGGGCCCCAGCGCCGATCCAAAGAATCCTCGTGGATCCCCGAAGGGCACGCTTGCTGGCTTGCTTGCTGACTTGCTTGCTTGCTTGCTTGCGCGCTTGCTTGCACGCTTGCTTGGTTGTTGAGTTGCGGATTCCAAGCATGCTTGATTCCTCCAATTCCCTGATTAGAGTCGTCGAATCTATTTGGAATCAACGTCGGCTGATGTTTATGCGATTCATGGTTCCCGACATCCCGCCATCCCCACCCTGCCGCCAATACCTGTCGACTGCCCTGTCAACCAGCTGACGCACGCGGCGCGCCCCCCCCCGCACCCTGGGCTGAAAGGGCCCTAGGACACACAAAGTATCCCAGTGCGACCCTACCTAGGAGTTGGAGCCCCTAGGAAAGCAGCATTAGTAGTAACAGTAAAGCTAAGCTAAAGCTAAGCTGAAGCTAAGCTGAAGCTAAGCTGAAGCTAAGCTGAAGCTAAGCTGAAGCTAAGCTAAATCTAAGCTAAAGCTAAGCTAAATCTAAGCTAAAGCTAAGCTGAAGCTAAGCTAAAAGCTCAGATAAAGCTAAGCTAAAGCTAAGGTACAGCTAAGGTACAGCTAAAGCTAAGCTAAAGCTAAGCTACAGCTAAGCTAAATCTAAGCTAAAGCTAAGCTAAAGCTAAGCTAAAGCTAAGCTAAAGCTAAGCTACAGTTAAGCTAAATCTAAAGCTAAAGCTAAAGCTAAAGTTCCCAGGGGACTGGGGAAACCGCTCCCAGGGGACTGGGGGAACCGCCCGGGGCGTTTTACACTGCCCAGCCATTTAAGCAAACAAAGTAAGAACCCTCTAGGAAGAGCCTAGGTAGGGAATACATGCACACGAATAAAATGATCCCCCATATTTTCAAATCTGTTCGGGCTTTCTGTCTTCCCCCCCACTTCCCATATTTTTCCATATTTTCTGGGAAGTCGACGATTCACTGTGTCTGTGTTTTTTCCCCTCCTGATGGGCGCCCGTTCCACATGGCATGGTCTAAGCCCGCGGGGCCTGAGGCCGAGAAGGTACTCGAGCGGAGCCCGCGCGCGTGGGGGGGTGGCGCTTAGGCAGTCGAATATGGTCAGCCCCACGAAGAACACCAGCTGCCTGAGGCAGCGTCGGGGGACGCGAGGGGGACGGAGCCCGAAGCCATATCACTTCAAGTCCTCCTCCTCCTCCTCCTCGTCCTCCTCCTTCCCCACTCTCCTCCTCCTCCTCCGCCTCCTCCTCCTCCTCCTTCTCCTCCTCTTAGTCCTCCTTCTCCCCCTCCTCCTCCTCCTCCTCCTCCTCCTCCTCCAGTCTGAGCAGTCTGCTAGCCAGCCGCGACGGGACTGAGTGAAACTGGCAACGTGAGAGCAGCAGAACTCTGTCTCCGAGTCTGTGCAAACATCGGCGACAACGACGACGACGACGACGACGACGACGACGACGACGACTCGCGATCTGGACCCCCCCGGGCCTCGGCGGTGATCTACTGACCAACCCGAGTCGGCCAGGCCTTGCAGGATCCCCCAGGGCCCTGCAGGAGGAGTCGGGGAGGAGGAGGAGGAGGAGGAGGAGGAGGAGGAGGAGGATGAGGAGGAGGAGGAGGAGGAGGAGGAGGAGGAGGAGGAGGAAGGAGGGGGGAGGAGGAGAGGAAGGAGGAGGAGGAGGAGAGGAGGAGGAGGAGGAGGAGGAGGAGGAGGAGAGCAGGAGCAGGAGAAGGAGGAGGAGCAGGAGGAGGAGGAGGAAGAGGAGGAGCGGAGGAGGAGGGGGGAGGAGGAGGAGGGAGAGGAGGAGAGGAGGAGGAGGAAGGAGGAAAAGGAGGAGGCGGAAGAAGAGGAGAAAAGAGGAGAAGGAGGAGGAGGAGGAGAAGGCGGAGGAGGAGATGAGGAAGAAGGAGAAGAGAGGAGGAGGAGGAAGGAGGAGGAGGAGGAGGAGGAGGAGGAGGAGGAGGAGGAGCAGGAGAGCAGGAGGGGGAGGTGAGGAGGAGGAAGGAGAGGAGGAGGAGAGGAGGAGGAGGAGGAGGAGGAGGAGAGGGGAAGGAGGAGGAGAAGGAGGGAGGAAGGGGGAGGAGGAGGAGGAGGAGGAGGAGGAGGAGGAGGAGGAGGAGGAGGAAGGAGGAGGGAGGGAAGGAGGGAGGTAACAGGAGGAGGATAAGAAGGAAGAGGATAATGAGGAGGCGGAAGAGGAGGAGGAGAACAGAGGGGGGGACGGAGGAGGATGAGAGAGAGGAGGAGGAGGAGGCGGAGGAGGAGGAGGAGGAGGAGGGGTGGGAGGGGCAGGAGGAGGAGGAGGAGGAGGAGGGGGAGGAGGAGGACGAAGAGGAGGAGAAGGAGGAGGAGGCGGAGGAGGAGGAGGATGAGGAGGAGAAGAGAGGGGGGAAGGAGGAGGAGGAAGAGGAGGAGGAGGAGGAGGAGGACTTGAAATGATATGGCTTCGGGGCGCCTTAACCCCATGGTTGGAGCCAGTGACCTGGTATGACCACCCTTGTACCACTCAAGGTCAGGTTCACTGTGGGAAAAGCGAAAATATGTCTGGAGGGCGCCCCACAAGACAACGCCGGCTTTGTCCGACAAAGCTTGCCCTCCCTCGAGTGCGACAGCCCAGCATGAACGCAGCGCCCGATGGGATGGTGCAGCCAGGGCGGATAGAACCTGAAGGCCCCTACTGGTTCAAGCCGGATTGTCTGAAAGACCGAGGTAATTCCCCAGCAAAGAGGGAAGATAACAAATTCCCCCCCTCTGAGCAGGGGCTAACCTACTCATGCTTCGCATAGCCACTCACTTTGCCACAAGGCGGACCTGAGGACAAGGACGAGGCCAGCGGGCCCAAACAAGCCTTGTAACACTCGACCTATGCTTCGCGTAGCCTTCTTTGGGGTTCCTTTTGGGACCCGCTCGGGTCCTCGTTGGCCCCTCTTCAGGACTCCATGGGTGGTGACTGCCGCGCCCGCAACGACAATCTGGCCGACCCACGGCCGCATAATCGGGCTCAAGTTTTCACGTGCCAAGCACCCCCCCACCTTGCTGGGCGGGGGATGCCCATGCCTGTCCATCGATAGGGATGGACATCTTAGCTTTAGGCTATTCGGCACCGTCAGTGCCGCAGGTGAAGAAAGGGGATGCCCATGCCTGTCCACCGACAGGGATGGGCAGTCTAGCTTTCGGCCCTGGGGTGGAGACCAACACCTGTCCATCGACAGGGGTTGGCATCCAGATCCTATTTGACACCGCAAGTGCCGAAGCCTGCAGCGGTCGCTATGGTAGCAGGGCCTTTTTCGCGGCCATTGCGCGAGCCATGACCTTCCCACGGCGGCCCTGCCTTCGATGGGGCCAAGACCTCACCAATGCACGCTATGCACGCGGCCAGGGTCAGAACCCTCGCCGCTGAACCACAATAACACAAAGGTGTCCAGTGGCCACGTTTGCGGGTCCCCTAATGCCGAATGGGCCCGCGCCCAAACAATAAACACCCGCCGACGTGCTAACGCCTGAACTCGCGGCTGCAGCCGGGCCCGTGCAACTCCGCGAGACCCAAATTTGAGCTCTTGCCCGCGGCCGAAGCACGCGGCACTGGTTTTTGGGCCCGTGCCCAACCTAACGCCCGCGGACAAGGTCTGCGCCCACTCAATCGGGTTTCGCACCATCCGCCGCCAGGGCCCATGACCCCGCCGCTATGCCTGCCGCTTCCCCAGTCTGCTGCGGTCGGCGGCCATGGGCTACGCCCTCGCCTGTGACCAAGCCAAATCCTGTGGCTTTGAAGAGGGTGCTGGGGAGGAGGGACGGGTTGCAAGGCTCCTCACCTCTTGGGGATGGTGTCGAGAGACATGACAAACAGTGTGGAGACACCGTCTTGCGACCCATACCCAGCCGAGCACCGCTGGGATTTGCGCGGCCTTCCACCATCACCCCGCTGCCAGGTCTTGGCGCCGAGGCCGAAACCTCGCTCTATCAGAACGCGGCATGTGAGACCCCTCTTCTTCCCCCATCACGTCCATGGGGGGGTTGGATGGGGGGGGGGGGAAACGGGGGGGCGGGGTTGGAGAGGAAAGAAAAGGTTTGGTAAGGCTGGGGATGGCGCCGCCAAGGCGGTGATAGGCCTGCGCCTGTTGGGCTGGCCCGTGCCCGTTGGTAGGCCCGACGGCATCTAAACAAAATCGTAGCCTACCTGACACCGTCGATGTCGGAGACTGCCGCGCCCGCAAGGGCAATCTGGCCGCCCCGCGGCCGTCTAAGCGGACCACAGTTTTCGTGCGCCAAGCAAACCCCCATTTCGGGGGAGGGATTCCCATGCTTATCCATCAATGAGGATGGGCATCCTGGCTCGAGGCACGATGCGTGGATTCCAACACCTGTCCATCGACAGCGGTGGGCATCCAGACCGGAACGGCGCCTATTTGACACCCTCGGTGCCGGAGGCTGCCGCGCTCGCTGCGGCAACATTGCCTTTTTGCGGCCATGACGCGAAACGTGGCTTTCATATGCCTAGCAGCATTCTCTCTGCGAGAGTGGGATGCCCACGCCTGTCCATCGGCAGGGATGGGCATCCTAGTTCGAGGCTCGATGCTTGATGGGCGGATGCCCATGCCTGCCCATTGACAGGGATGGGAAACCGACCCACTGCGACGCCAGTTGGCCACCTTCTATGTTCTATGTCTAAAGCTGCCTCGCCCGCAACCGCGAAAGGACGCCCCCCAGCCATGGAAGCGGGTCGCAGTTCTCGCATGCCAAGCAAGCCCTGATTGCGGGGGTAGGGCGCCCATGCCTGTCCACCGACAGGGATGGGCATCCGAGCGTTAAGCCCGAGTTTAGATGCGAACTCCTGTCCATCGACAAAGGGGGGGCATCCAGATCAAAACGGCGCCTTCCTAACATCGTCCATGGTGGAGGCTGGCGCACCCACCACAGCAGTTTGGCCGCCGCACGGCCCTGGGAGCGGGCCATAGCATAGCGTGCGTATACCAAGTAACCCTCACGTACGAGGGAGGGGGTGCCCATGCCTGTCCATCGACGAGGTTGGGTATCCCAGAATACGGCACGAACAGCGGGTGCCCCCTCCTGCCCATCGACAGGGGCGGGCACCCAACTCGGCACGGCGCCTACGTGACACCGACGAAGTCGAGGGTTGCCGCGCTCGCAGTGGCAGTGGCACCGTCGAACGGCCACCGAAGCGGGCCAAAAACAACCAGCGGCGAGCTAGGTCTGAGCGAACTTGACGCCACCCGCTTGCCCGACCGATTGACTTCTGGTGGTGTCCAGAGGTCGGAACGCTGCCTCCTAAGAAATCGCGCCTTGTTGGCACGGGGCGCCGCGCCTGCAGCGGCAGCGTGACCGACTCGGGGCCACCTAAGCAGGCCAATGTTTTCATTGTTTATAGTTTTCTAAGCAGGCCAATGACGAGCTTGAAAATTGATGCCGCCGCCTGGGCATCGACAGGCACGGGCATCCCAGCTCGCACCTTGCGGAGGGTTTCAAGAAGACCCAGCGGCGGCGCAGTGGGGGCCTGCACGCAGGCCCCCGCACCACTGTCGCCCCTGTGTTCACTCCACGGGAGGCTCGCATGGGGTGCCCATCGGAAGTGGATGTCCCACAGCCTTAGTGGCGCCCCGTGCATCCCCGGGCGATACGCCCCCCGAGGAGCATAGAACAGAATTGGCACGGGGAGGAGGAGGAGGAGGAGGAGGAGGAGGAGGAGGAGGAGGAGGAAGAGAATGGGAATGGGCATGTCAGATGACTTAGTCAAACTACCGAGCATTCCCCAGAGCTTCTCCAGCAGCGCGAAGAAAAGGATGGGGAAGGAAACGAACCAGAACACGGCGCACAAGACGCGTGAGACACGCTTAATTTGCAGCCAACGCCTTCACAAGACATTCGCACGATGACTCACTCAAACCAAGAGTATGTCCATCAGCGAAAGTCGGCAGAAACGCCTTCACAAATTATTGTGATGGCTGAATCACCAGACTGAACCAAAGTTATGTCCATCAGCCAGAGCACACGTACAAACACTTCCACGGGTAATTGCCTGAACAGAATATAACCAAACACGCAACGACCTTCAGTATGAGCAAAAGTATGTCCCTCAGTTGTTGCACAACTACACAAATGACGGCCACATGCGAAACC